CCCCAAAACCCCAAAACCCCAAAACCCCAAATCTTAGTTAAAATATTGAAAGTTTTGAAAATGGATAATTATCAGAACTTAACATCTTCCAATTTTTCCTTAAACATCATCCCTAATTTCGTCATTCTCCCAAATTTTTGCTATTTTATAGACCTTCTTGTTGCGAACATCCTTCATAATCTCCTTTTTCCAGTACTTGAGTTCAAAATTAAGATCAAAACTTTCCTGTTTATCACTCTTTTGGTCTAATATCTTCTTGGATTGCTCTTTAGCGCAACTAGCACAACTTTCGCTACTATCAAGGCTGTGTAGTCAGGTCTCTAGCAAAGCTCTGAAGTCTATTCACAGCCCTTTTGAGAGTCTTGAGAAATGCAGAAGGTCTTCATAGCTCTTTGTCTGTTTTAATAAATGCTCGTAGTTTAAGACTGTTTTAGTAATGTCTTGTAACAACTGAACTTCGTCTGCGGGAACGCTTTGAAGCCTGGTCTCAGACAATACAGATTTCTTACAAAAATGATCTTTGATGTATCTTAAGGTGAAATTTGGCTTGTATTGGCATGGAAATCATGAGTGTATCCTCTCTCCAGTGAAAATTCAATCAAGTTGTTTACTTAAGCAAGGAATCCCGTTCATGTCTCGGTATAGCCTTAGTGACATCAACCTGACAAATACTCGAACTTCAAGAGTTGCCAGAGTCGCTTTCATATTGTCTTTTGGGATTTCAAAGTCAATAGTAAATTCTTCTATTTTTGTGTTCATTTTCTGGATACTTTTCCATATCACCTTCAGAATATTCTCATTTTCTTCTTCCTTGGGCTCTTTATTAGGAGCAAGTTCTGAATCTTTTTGAGAATTTTTGAGAGACTGATCAGATCTAGAGCTTGCTTCGTGTTCTAAGTTGTATTTCACTGGAGCATGTTCATTAAAATAGCAACAATACTTGATAAGCATCCTATGGATCTTTAGAAGTTCTGTTGTTTCCTTTAAAACCGTTAATTTTAGAACTTCTGATTCAGGAAAGATACAATTTGTTTCAGAGCTGCTGCGGAGCAGGTCAAAAGCATTTGCCAAGGTAGCCTGAGAAGACTTGGTCAAAACATCATACTTGTCTGAACCTTTAGTATTCCTTTTACGTTTTCTATACTTTTTTATAGATTCTTTATCAAACTGTACTTTCTCAAAACTCTCTACCATTTGTTTTCTAATCCCTTCGACCTCCATTATCTTCTTCTCAATAATCTTTTTCTCTTTCTCTGAAAGACAGATTCCTTCACTCAGTCTCTTCCCAAGGTCAACCAACTGGTCATACTTAAACTCGCCTTTAATCAATTTTTCTAATTCAGCTTGATTCTTCTTAAATTCTTCGAATCTCTCTTGAATCATTTCAGAGTCTTCTCCTAGTTCAAGATGAGACTCCGCTCACTCTTGCTGTATTTCTTCTAGCTCCTTTACGTCCTTAAGTTTATCTTTTTCCTTGACTCTGCCTTCAGCCAGGTTAGTTCATTTATCAGCGAGGGCCAGCTGAGCTTTGAAAGCTGAACAGGTTTTGGTCGTGAATAGCCAGTGCGAAGTAGGGAATTGGTCGAGGGATTTTGATAGTTTTGTGTAGGCGTAATGGGTCGGAGAGGTGTCCTTTGGGTGATCGATGTAGGGAGATAAATAAGAGACCAGAAATATATTATTTTCTAGAATTCTCTATCTCAGACTCTTTTATCTTTCTAGCTTATAAGAGAATGAAGTAGAAATATAATCCCAAAGTTGTCTATTACTAGAAGAGTGTATAGTAGATTCCTGGTATAAATTCCCCTTAAACTTCAAGAACTTGATTTCTACACCTGGCTGATAGGGAAGCTTGAGAGCTGACTCGATGCAAGCTGTAATCTCACTTAGCTTGATCAATAATTTGACCTTATTTGGCTTCAGATGTTCGATTGTCTTGTTATATATAAGAGGATTACGAATTTGGTTTGTTTATCTTCATCTGAACAATATAGGGAAGTTTAAATCCAGCCATGAAACATCTCTATAAATCCCTCATCTTATTCATTAAAGCTTTGAAGGACTTAAACCAAGTCTTGACCTGGTCAAAGTCTGATTTGACGATCGAAGCTAGGCTGATAGGATCAGACATGCCTAAGTTTGTAGATCAATCTTTGTATAATTTAACTAGATTTTCTATATTTCCGCTAAAAGACTGCACTTATCCGGATTCTGAAGGCTATTTTCAGGAGCTTGCAAGTTTTTCTTTGCACGTTTTTTAGATCTTCTTGAGCCATTTGCTCGGGAAATACCGGTGTCTTTCTGAGCGCTTTGAGGTATCTCTGGTACATTTTTCGATTGACCAGTGTAAACATCTGTTGATATCTCTAAAATATCATTAATATCATCTTCTTGTCAAGTTAAATCGATCGCGTTATCACAGGCCTTCATTCTGAATAGATGTTCTTTCATTTTATTCTTCATGAATCCTGGAATCCATAGAACTGTTGTGTTTTTGTAGAAAGTATTAAACTTGATGACCCCTAAGTTCTTCTTAGAATATTCAACTAGGTTTTCCTTGTAACATTTGACTGCACTCGCCCAATTGTATAATAAGCAACCGATCTCCTCTGTGATCTCTATTTTCGGTGCATTCTCTTCGAACATATTTGCTGTGATAGGATTCTTTACCAGTTTAGTCAGATTAGTTGTCTTGATAGGCTTAGTCAACTTTGCAAAACTTCCCAATGCCTGGATTGTGGACATAACTAGAGATTCAGGTTTCTTCTTTTTGGTGGGTAAAATCTTTTCGAACATACTATCATCCTTTATTTCTAGCGGTATTTGCTTAAACTTGCCGTCCAAAAACATGACTAATCTTCTGGGATCTTCCATGAGGTACTTCTTATAACCATGTAGACTTATAGTAAGGACCTTCTGGGCTTCACTATTCTCCCTGGTGCCTACTATTCCTTCCATATTGTCAGTGTATTTGTTCGTGTGCGTAATGAGGCAAACTTAGCCAAAAGGGTTTGTGGACATGCTTATTAAGATTTTCAATATAAGGTTTAAAAGCTGATGCCTAGAGAGCTAGGTTATGCCTAAATCCAAGCCAGGGCTTTTCTGTCCCCTTCAAGAAGACAAAACCACATATAAAACAAGCCATATTACTCCAGCTTCCTCTACATTGATCAATTTTTAAACCCTCAATTTCTTTCTTAAAAAATGGGGTTTTGGGGTTTTGGGGTTTTGGGGTTTTGGGGTTTTGGGG